GGCGGCCAGGGGGGGACATGGTCCCCTCACTCGCCCCTTGCTGGCGGCCATGAAGAGGCAGAACGTGCGGACCCTGTCCCTCATCATCTGCACGTTCACCTACCTGCTGGTCGGGGCTGCCGTCTTTGATGCCTTGGAGTCCGACAACGAGATGCGGGAGGAGGAAAAACTCAAAGCCGAGGAGATCCGGCTCAAAGGAAAGTACAACATCACCAGCGAGGACTACCGGCAGCTGGAGTTGGTGATCATGCAGTCCGAGCCGCACCGGGCTGGTGTCCAGTGGAAATTCGCCGGCTCCTTCTACTTTGCCATCACGGTCATTACGACTATCGGTGAGTGTCTCACCCCGGGGAGGCCCTCTGGGGCCAGGGCCAGGGCTAGGGCAAAAGCCCCCCTGGTTGGGAGAAAGCGAGAGGGGCAGGGGGGCTGTGGCATGCAAAGGGTTAAGTGCCGGATGAATTTTTTGGCTTCCCTCCCGTCTTATGTAATTCATTGCTCTTCACGGGCACTTGTTGGACTCGGCGGTGTCCCGCACCTCTTCCCCTGGAGACGGAGCCTGTGTCCCCTGGGTGGGACAGGAGAGGAGTGGGGCTGGCCTGGTGGGGGGATTGGTGCTGACCAGGTGGCTACCATCGAGCTGTGGGTTGGGTGGCAAGGAAGAGAGGGGAAGAGGCAGGGTGACACTCTCCTGGGGTTCCCCTCAGGAAGAAGGAGGCCCTGTTGCCACGCTCCTCCTTGCACCTTTGCTTAAGAGACGCGGGGAAAACTTAGGCAAAAGGCAGTTGGATGAGGATGAAAACGATGAGGGCACGGGAACTGGATCAGCTGGGAAAGCCCTTGATGCAGCCAAGTGTAGCCCTGCTTTCACAAACTTTTGTTTTGGCGTTGGCAAAGGCTGTGGTGGGGGTTCCCACAGCTGTGGTCCCATTGCTGGGCCTCTCTTGGGCATTCCCAACGTGTTCCTGAAGTTTTTATTGCAGCTGGAGTGTCTGATGTGCCAACAGGTCACAGTCTGCGTCTCCTCTTTGTGGGCACACGGTCCAACGGGCAAAACGATGCCCGCTGTCACATCCGTGCTGCCCAGCTTCCCAGATGTGCCATTTCCCAGGACAGTCGAGGGACAGTCGGTGGACACAGCCACAGGCTGTTGTTTTGTACTTCTCTGCTTCCCGCAGCTAAAGCGGAGCGTTTTGCATAAAGTTTGCTTCCCTGCGTAAAAATAAACACCACGATAGCTAGAGGCTGCGGAGCGCACACAGAACTGTGCTACAACTCTGGCTTTGGCTTGATGAGCAGGTTTGTTCCTTCCTGGTGTTGTATTCAATAGGGTGGATTTACTTAGGCAGTTGGTAACGTTCTTCTCCCAGCACTTCTAGATGTTCCCCCCTAACATCTGGGGAGATCTGAAAAGACCTCTCCGGCTCAGTGGCTGTTTGATAGTGCGTTATACTGAACAGGACACGAAAGACTAGCTCTCTTACTCATACAGAAGGGCTCGACCTTTTTACGGTTTAGGGCTTGTTGCAGGGAATTTGCACATTGCCACCTGAAGATCCTGACGGTTTTCAGCAGAACGTGCTGTCCGGTGCCCTTTGAGCAGTGTTTACTTGCGTTTGTATGTGACTGTATTATACCTGGGGCAGTAAAAAATTTCCTTTGAAAGACCATCTGACAGTATAAAGCCCTTGCAAAGATAAGATTTTTAAGGGATAATTTCTTCTTTTCTGTTATTAGATATATTTATATAAAATGCATATATTAATAGGCTGTAGAATATAAAGTAGAATGTAACTTTGGCTGATGACTTAGATTTCCTGCTGTTCGTTACGAAGTCAGAACTCTCCTTCCTCCTTTGGTCACTGATTCTCTCTTCCTCCTTCTGCCTCTTGTCATTTATTTGTGCTAAGCGAACACTGGACTGGCATGCTCCTCTGGATTACAACGAGGCTTCCACGCACATGCCTGTGTACTCACGGTGCCCTATGCTCCTGCCTGAGAGGTGGCTGCAATACTTTCTGCGTTCTTAAGCTCGGTCGGTGACAGGTAGAAAGAGCTGTTTTTACAGCAGTTTGCTGTTTTGATCGTATTTTACCCAGAAACAAGTACAACTTCCTTGGGAAGCTTTAGCAGTTTCTCTTGGAAAGAGCTGGGATTTGTTTAGGAAGCTCGGAGCACCTCAGCGTGTGGAGGATAGCGTGCGTTTCTGTAGGCAGAGGCGCTTTGGGATGTCAGAATTGTTTAAATTAAAATGTGTATAGCAACGGGGAACCACTGAGAGGAAGAGTGATAATAAAGAATGGTGCCGAAGAACAGACATTCTTTAACGATTGTTCATTTGGGAAGCTGCTCCAGGAGGATACGTGATCCGTCTTTCAAAAGTTTATTAATAGTTACTACCTGCATCTTGCCAAACTCACTTCTCTTTTGTGTATCATCTCTTCAGTACTAAAGTAGCTTCATGATGTTATCTGATCTACTGGTAGTCTGTAAAAGTGAACATGGAAGGTTTTTCTTTAATTTCTTATTTATCCTAAAAGAATGTGGCTCAAAGGGGAACAAAATGACTTTCTGTATTTAAGTTCTCAGGAAAATAAGAGAAGATTTCTTCTCTACGTTTCTTGCACGGGGCAGTGATCTTAAATGCTCGTATTAATCTTTTGTGATGTTCTTCTTTTCAATCTGACTGTGTGTACGCTCTCACACACGTTTCCTTCTCCCTCGGAAACCTTCCAGACAGACTTTGTGAAGCACATGCAGTGGTGCGTGCGTTAGTGAACGTGCTGTAGTCAGTAGGTGCTCTTGCGAAAGTGCATCTGACTAGCCGTCGCAGGCTGATTTTTAAAACAGAGTGAATAAAAACCTTCGTTGCCTGATCTAGAGTGGTGCATCTATCGCCACAAAACTTCTCTTCGGAGAAGCGCAGTAGGAATCGGCGGACCACAAAGTCTAGCAACGTGCATATGATAGCAGACTAATTTATGTCTGACTTAATTGTTCTCCTTGATCCTGCCGCGCTAGCAACACGTCTGACGCGATTACCTCTTTACTGTGTTGATCTAAACTACTGCGGCTTTAATTTAACCACAGGCGTTTATCGCTGGCCACGGACCACGAGCCAGCAGCGATCGGTAGCCTGGCAGGGACCGGGTCTTCCC